AGAGCGAGAAAAAGGGGAGGAGAGGAGGAACAAAAAAACATCGGAGGGCAAAAGGAGCGAATTGGGGGGCCGATGCCTTCAGCGTGCTCCGCGGCGACGCCATGTGTGCGCGCGGGGGTTCAATGCGTCTGCGTCTCCGCCGCGCGCCAGCGCCGGTCCCACGCCGCTCGCATCGCGCCGCAGTACTCGACGCAGTCGTCGAGGGTCGCCAGCTCCTCCGCGGTGAGACGCCCGCAGACGTCATTCCACCCCGCCGCGACGGCGACCACGTCGTCGATGCCCACCAGCTCCTCTGCGTGGGGGAAGAGCGGGGCGGGGACTGTGGACACCGCCAGGCCGCCGACGCCCATGCCAATGGCCCGCGCGATGAGGTCGCCATCGCTGCCCTCGTTGCGGCACAAGGCGAGCACCACCCGCCCCGGCGGCACCCCGCAAGACGACGTGGTCTTCATGACAATCTCCAACCAGCGCGGTGTCAGGCCCCGGACGCCCTCCTCCAGCACCACACGCGCACAGCCACCGCCGGCGCCCAGCAAATGCGCCACGCCCTCGGCCACACGTATGCTGGGGACATACAGCCCCTCGAAGCGGCACGTCAACGACGAGCGCATCCACGCCGTCCAGCTGTACCCCGCCGTCGAGGACAACGCGACCATCGCCGGGGTCAGCGCCTCCGCGTAAAATTCCTCCAGGTGTTTCTGCTGAAACAACATCCGCGACGCAAGCGGGCCCGATGGCACACACATGCACACCTTCTTGTACTGCGGAAATTGCTTCATCAGCTGCGGCACCTCACATGGCTCGACGAGAACCACCAGTTGATTCCCCTCAGCAAGCATGTTCCACGCCGCGCTTCGCTGAGTCTCCGTCGCCGCCGACAGCAAACTCTCGTGCAGGCGTCGCAGCAAGGCGAAGGGCACAAGGGTCTCCGTGGCACCCCCCACAACAACGGCGCCCGTGATGGCGTCCATGGCAAACCTGGCAACGGCGCCCGAGGTGACGCCTAGCCGCGGCCGCCGCAGCGCAGGCAGGAGGGCACAGGAGGAGCAGTCCAGCAGCCGCAGCGGCAACGCGGTGTACGGTGGTGGCAACAAATGGGTGGTCATTCCTCCCACGTGTCACACCACCCCCAGACAGTTGTGCAGTGGGCCCTCATTCCGTCGGGAGGGAAGGGGCGAGAAGCACGAAAAGCAGCGAGACGAATGCTACAAGCAGCCATGCGGCGAAGCATGCACGCGGCGAGTGCGTGCGTGCGTGCGTGGGTGGGTGGGCGGAAAACGCAGAGAAAACACCAAGTCGCAGGCAAAATAATCACAGAAGGAAAGATTAAAAGTAAAACCAAGACGGAGTGGGGAGGATGAAAAAACAAAAACAAAAAACAACACACACACACACATACAACAAGAACAACTTGTGTTAATTTGATACCCTCCTCTCTCTCTCTTTTCGTCCCTTTCTCATTCTGGCCGGGTGCGACGCATCTAAAACCCTCCCCAATTCAGTCCATGTGAGGCTTCGCCACGAATACCACCTGGAACCGCCTCTGCCTGCTGCAGCGGAGCAGTAGGGGGCCCCATGACGCCAGCGTTACGTAGCCACACCATGTGTACACGGCGTTGCCGCCCACCACCGCAGACTCGCCCATCACCCAGAGTAGCACGGCGAGAGTGAGAGAAAGAGCGGGGAGGCCCAGTATAATCTTCCACCGGGCACGTACATCCTGCATAATGTCCAGAACAGGACCCACGCACCAGACGGCAAAAAGTGGGCCGCCCAGGCGAACTACGCTAAATGTCCAATACAAGACAAAAGGAACGTCACACTCCTCCATCTTGCTTATGGGCGAATCGCTACAGGCCACCCACAACATAAACAACTGCGCAACCGTAGCCATGAGGGACAACAGAGAGATGCCCACGCCACAAAGCGCCCAAAAGTTTCGCGCGGCTGTGCCAAACTTCCACGAGAGCGTTAGACCAAACAAGGCTGCGAGAGACGAGGTCACCCAGATGCGCCATGCCTTCCTTGGAAACTCCGCCACACCATCCGTTTGTCTTCTAGCGTAATCCCACAATGCTTCCTCCACCGACGGAAAGTCTAGGGGATGCCTTGTGGTCCCCGTGGCAATAAGACACGCAAGCTCAACCAGGCACATCAAGCCTAACAGAACCGGCACGCGCATCCACACTTCAAACCGTCCTTCATACCATCGGCTCCCCACGTTCGGGAACCTTGTGCCACCCGTGGCTGCATCGCCTGACTGCGGGAATCGTGGCGCCCTCTGCAGTTCCACAGGCCTGAGCCCAACAACCCAGCGGGCGCCAGGGTCTTTGTGAATGGCCCGCGTATACGTCAAAGGGTCCAGCAGCACCTCTACTTCAGAGTCCTCCGGCAGCATTTCCTGTGGGCGGCTCCGCCACCTCGGCGCCACGCCCAACCACGAGTGCCTCTGCTTTCTTCCACTTTGCCACGCACGCCGTACCTCGCAGTGAAGAAAAGGCCAGATACAGTTAGCAATGAAAGCAATAAAACAAAACGCCCTCAACTCTCCCTCCCACACACGCACACACACAGAGAAAGAAAGAGAGAGAGAGAGATGCAGCGCTGAGGAGCCCAAACACACACAGAAAACAACAAGAAGGTACGATACAACACAATAGTGATACCCAACAAGAAAAAAAAAAGGAAACGAGTAAAAAAAAACAAAGAAGAAAATCGCAAGAAAAAAA